GAGCCCAGGAGCTGGAGGTTGCTGTGAGCTGTAATGCCACGGCACTCTGCCCAGGGGGACAGCTTGAGGCTCTGTCTCAAAAAAAAAAAAATGAGAGGTAAGCATTTCACATTGTATATCAAAGCAGTACCCTGAACCCCATAAATGCATCGATGTGCAAAGTTATGATTTAATAAAAAATAATTAAAAGATGAGAGATGTGCACCTTTTGTCTATGCTTTCCTTTCTCCTTCCTTCTGTCTAGAACATGGATGTGATGGCTAGGGATCCAGCATCACAGGCAATCTTGAGGACAAAAGCCACGTACTAAGGATGGCAAAGGGTAAAGAAGCACCCTGGGTCCTTTACAACCTATGGAGTTGGCATATACCCCCTAGACTGTCTACCTCTGTGTGTGCGTGTATGTGTTTTTTCAAGACAAAAGAAATAAACTATTATCTTGTTTAAGCAATGGTTACTTTTTACTCTTTTTTTTTTTTTTTTTGCAGTTTTTGGCCAGGGCCAGGTTTGAACCCACCATCTCCAGTACATGGGGCCGGCGCCCCACTCCTTTCAGCCACAGGTACTGCCCCCTTTTTACCTCTTTATGACAAACATAATTCTGACTAGGCAATAAAGAGACGTAGCAACAAATCAGTAGTCTCAGCCATCTCAGCTATGCCTCAATTTAATGTTGATAAGGTGTAAGATGTAATACAGAGGAACCTCCATAACCGACCTGCATTGACCATCTTCTTAAGTTGACCTAATTTTCATAGACTGGACATGCACCACATGTATTAGTATAGTAGGCCTAGTTCCTTGTGTTGATCAACTCTGTTAGTTGACCAGTTTATTACGGTCCTTTGGGTGGTCAACTTACAGAAGTTCTACTATATTTCTACTGAAGTGAGAGTGTTAAAATAGGAAGCAAGACTAAGCAAAAAGCCTCTACTCTTTGAAGACACACCATCATTACAGTTCAGCTGGACGGATGTTTAGAGTCCTTGTGTATACTATCAAATTTCACAGTATAACTTTTTGCCAACATTTGATAGTTATTTCCTAAAAAAGTAGCATGGCTTGCAAAACTGTGACTGGAAAGACCAGATTATATGAAAATGAGTAGTTAGGAAAATAAACATTTTGATGAAAGTTTATTTGTTTGTTTGTTTGTTTTGAGATAAAGTCTTACTATGTTGCCCTCAGTAGAGTGCTGTGGCTTCAGAGCTCACAGCAACCTCCAACTCTTGGGCTTAAGCCATTCTCTTGCCTTAGCCTCCCAAGTAGCTGGGAGTATAGACACATACCACAATGCCTGGCTATTTTTTTGTTACAGTTGTCACTGTTGTTTAGCTGGCCCAGACAGTGTTTGAAACTGCCACCCTCGGTACATGTGACCAGTGCCATAACTGCTGTGGTACGGGCGCCACGCTTTGATGAAAGTTTTTAAACTGTTTTAAAACGTGTTCAAATGGCATAGTGCCCATAGCTCAGTGGTTAAGGCACCAGCCACAAAGACCAGGCCGGCGGGTTCAAACCCGGCCCGAGCCTGCTCATCAACGACAATGACAACAACAACAACAACTATAGCCAGGCGTTGTGGTAGGCGCATGTCATCCCAGCTACTTGGGAGGCTGAGGCAAGAGAATTGCTTAAGCCCAGGAGTTTGAGGTTACTGTGAGCTGTGATGCCACAGCACTCTACCAAGGGCAACATAGTGAGACTCTGTCTCAAAATAAAAAAAAAGGGGTGGCACCTGTGGCTCAAGGAGTAGGACGCCGGCCCTATATATTGGAGGTGGCGGGTTCAAACCCAGCCCAGCCAAAAACTGCAAACCCCCCCCCCCCACCAAAACCTATTCAAATAAAAAATAAAAACTAGTTGACTCTTCTTTAAACTATAGTGACCTAATTAACCATAGTTAATAATGATGAATTGTATAATTAAAATTTGCTAAGAAAGTTGGTCTTAAATATTCTCAGTGTACACAAAAAATGTTAACAATGTTAATGGATATGTTAATTACCTTAACCGTGGCAGTAGTTTCACATTGCATACATATATCAAAACATCACATTAGGGTGGTCCCTGTGCCTCAAGGATTAGGGTGCTGGCCCCTTACTGGAGGTGGTGGGTTAAAACCTGGCCCCTGCCAAAAACTGCAACAACAACAAAAAAAATCATATTATACACTTTGAATATATACATTTAAAATACAATAGAACCTCCATAGTTGACCACTTCCTTAAGATGACCTAATTTTAACAGACTGGACATGCACACATACTCAGTGGAAGACTCACTTCTATAGGTTGTATCTTGTCCACTTTGGACTGTGACATAGTATTTACTCTATAATGTAACGAGTCCACTCTACACCAATGGGTAGAAGGTGTGGGTTTTGTCACTTAGTTGTATTATTTTTTCTTTAGCATGAGTTATTTTTCTCATGTTTTATTATTGCCATGTGTTAGATTAGGCCTAATGTCCTATTGTTTATCATGTTTGGTGGAAAATTCTTTCAACATGAAGGACTAGTCAGAATTATAGGTACATCCTACAATTACTTAAAAATCTTACAGTTAATTGAGACACAATGGCCCAAAGGAAAGAACTCAAACAGCTGACACTGAAAGAAAAGGTTGATTTTCTACATTTTCTTGAAAGCAGTAACCAAAGAAACTGCAAAAAAAAAAAAAAAAAAAAAATTTCCTAGACTTCAGCAGAGGCTTCAGAGATAAAGACATCTTTAACACTGACAAGTAGATTCTTTCAAGGTGATGCTTGACAGGAGCCTCATCATGAACGATGACAAATGTAAGTGCAGAAAACTTTCCAAAGAACATTTCACAGTTCAGCTTTGTGCTAGTTCAACTGGAGAGAAACTAAAGCCCTTGGTAATTCAGCAATCAGGAAAGCCACACACATTCAAAAACCTGAAGCCCAAAGACCTCCTCATGACTTGGGGACCAAATAAATGCTCAAGGATGACTGGTGCCCTGTTTTAGGAGTGGGTAAGGGATACGGACCAAGAAATGAAGAAAAAATGGTCTAGTCTACTGACAGTAGACAACTGTCCTGGCCACCCGCAAGTGAATCATTCCATAAACATGACAATAAAATTTCTGCCTCCAAACAAGACCTCAAAATTCCAATCTCTTGACCAAGGCATCACCAAAACATCTGAAATGCACTATCATGCCCAGCTCCTGCAATGGGTCATTACTAAAACACAAACCTGTGGTCTACCTAAGGAAGCAACTATATAACTACTATGTCAGTTAACACTCTGGATGTTGTCCTTAGGATCAGTTCTGCTTGGAATAATGTTCAGCCAGAAATGATAAACAGTGTTTCCAGAAAGTTGGATTTAGGCAAGGTGCAGCACTAATCCTAGCACTCTGGGAGGCCAATTGGGAGGCAGTCCACCCTATGTTTGGGCTAGACTTGTGACTTGTTTTGAATGAACATAATGAAAGGACCATTTGTACACATGTAAGTTCAAAGCCTATGCCTCAATGAGGTCTTGCAGTTTCCACCTTCACTTTCTTAGGAGGCCACCTTGCAAATGTCACCTAAGGATGCCAGACTAGCTACTAGAGGATGAAAGGGCACACTGAGAAGAACTGAGGCACTTCAATGGACAGCAAATACCACTGCCAACATGTGACTTGGGTCTTCCAGTTCAGTCAGTTATCCATGTGAATTCAGCTACACAAGAAAGCCAAGGGAACTCAAAAGAGAGGCTGCCCACTCAAGCCTATAGAGTCATAAAAAATGTTTAATCTTTTTGTATTGTCTTTAAGTTTTGGGGCAATTTGTTAGGTAGTAATACCAAATAAATAATTTTTATTTTTTTTGAGACAGACTCTCATTCTGTTGTCCCAGACTGAAGTGCTGTGGCATCAGCTTAGCTCACAGTAATCTGAAACTGCCTGGGACTATAGGCACCCACCAGAATGCCCAACTAATCTTTCTTTTTTGGCCAGGGTTGGGTTTGAACCCACCACCGCTGGTATATGGTGCCAGCATCCTACTCCTTGAGCCACAGGTGCTGCCCTCAATTAATTTTTCTATTTTTAGTACAGACAGGGTATCATTCTTGCTCAGGCTGGTCTCAAACTCCTGAGCTCAAGCAATCCACCCGCTTCAGCCTCCCACCCTAGCCTCCCACCCTAGCCTCCCTTCAGTGCTAGGGAGTCACCCTACCTGGCCTGAACAAATAAACTTTAAAATAACATACTTAAAGTTTCTTGAAGGTAAACGTAAAAAAATCATTTGAGATTTTTCTGTTATCTTTAATTTACCTATTACAGCATCCTATTGCAAAATTTAGTTCACCTATTACAATATGCTAAAGTCATGCTGACTGCAATGTTTTATTCCACTACAATTGGGAAAATATGAAAAGATTTTGTGGAAAGTGAGTAATGTGCGACAGGCCCTTTAGAAAGACCACTCTGGGGCTCGGCGCCTGTGGCTCAGGCGGCTAAGGCCACATACACCTGAGCTGGCGGGTTCAAATCCAGCCTGGGCCTGCCAAACAACAATGATGGCTGCAACCAAAAAATAGCCAGGCATTATGGCGAGCACCTATAGTCCCAGCTACTTGGGAGACAGAGGCAGGAGACTCGCTTGAGCCCAGGAGTTGGAGGTTGCTGTGAGCTGTGATGCCACAGCACTCTACCCAGGGTGACAGCTTGAGGCTCTGTCT